AAACTCATTTAATATTGTCAACTTTCATGTATGCAAACTTTCATAGTATAAACATTATACTTACTGATATTTCATCGTCTTTTCTTCTTTCTGTGTTGTCGCCCGCGTGGCGCAGTGGTTAGAGCGTCTGTTCTAGAGTCGCGAATTAAGGAGTCAATCCTTATGTCGCGGGTTCGAATCCCACTGCGGGACGTGGAGACCGGTCATTCGGATGAGACCGTATAAACCGAGGCCCCGTGTCGCAGTAGGTGCTGGCACGAAAAAGATCCTCACTGCTCTAAGGCCCTGAGTGCCGAGCATAGGACAAATTTTTTAGCCCTCCATCGGCAAGTGGTGGCGTCTCCATATGAGTGAAAAATTCTCGAGAGGGACGTTAAACAACATACAATCAATCAATCAATCTTTCTATGTTTATCTCTTAAACCGCTAAGTTTTGAGGTCGGGCTCGAGTGACGTAATGTGAATAAAGATGGCAATTGTGAATTTTGGTGGATCTTAATACTTTACATTCATAGAGGCGGGTTTACATATGAAAAGAAATTTTGACACATAATTTGTTTCAGCGTTGTATTACTATTCATTTCACTAGGATATCAAATCTAGCGAAAAATGTCTAAACAAATTTTGATAAAGTATTTATATATTGTGTATATTGACCTTCAAATGGTTCGCAAAATGCAGAAAAAATATTCACACAGAAAACAGTACTGTAATACAATGTAATTTATATCAGAATATCGCTCGGGGTATCTTGAGAAAATATTTTAGAATGGCAAAGAAACTTAATTCACACACGATACGACGATCATAACACGTATTCATTTATACCTTCACTCTGAAAATGAAACAGTACAACGGAGATGGAAAGAAGGAAAAAAGAAACATGTGCGTTTTAGACGCTAAAATTTTACGTCACAATAAACACGTTTTCTCGCAGTCAACGCTTATGTCATTAAGACTGGTTTTGTCAGAGAGAGGTCCATATATATATAAAATGGTCTTTTAAGAAATACAACTTATTCAATTTAAAATGCTTTTGAAGTAGGATTTAAATGTTTTATGGTTAAATATAATAAAACAATTAGTACGAGATTGGCAAAAGAAATAGAAAGTAATGTTCCCTTTTTATAAACTTCCAAATGAAAACGAAAATTTACGTTTGGCAAAAGAAGACTATTTTATCAACCTCTTTAAACACAAACTTAATCGCAAATGATACTGTATATTTTATATTTTGAAATTTCATTTGTATAATGTGTGAAAGTTAGTGCAAGATTTGTACATTAACAATTACGCCAACTTAACGCTACCTACATCTATTATGACGTCACAATGAACTTTATGCTTTTGACGTTACCAGGTAACCTACCTGACATTTGTATAACTGCCTGAAGAGCCGAACATGGCGAAAGCGCTTGCAGTAAATGTTTTGTGATACTTTTGGATTTTTACTTTTAAATATATATATATATATATATATATATATATATATATATATATATATATATATATATATATATATATATATATATATAATACATGTCATTGTTTAAAAATCTCAAAACCAAGTCAGCAATTGTTTAAGGGGTACCGACCCTCTGATATGACAGATACCTCTCAGAGACAGTCAGAGTACTAAATATGAATACTACTCACAGTTTTTTTTATCAAATCAGTTTCCTAATTTAGACCTCCTGGGTAGTCAATTCAACGAAATCTAACTTGTGTATGGAAACATTACTTTCTATTTCTTTTGCCAATCTCGTACTAATTGTTTTATTATATTTAACCATAAAACATTTAAATCCTACTTCAAAAGCATTTTAAGGATGGATTCTTCTCATATTTCTTATAATCACAGAATCTTGATTTTCTGAATACTCAATATTCAGACTGTGTACACTTATTAAACATCCAAACGAACCGGTGTAATCGGCCTTGATTTTCGGTCAAGGTCGTTTGAAAGTCAGTCCTTAAAATAGTTCTTTTACACAGAGAAATTTTGAAATTTACGCATAGGAATAAATTTTGCTGACAGAAAAAAATATCTTGCTAAATAAAATTAAAGTTATAACTTATTTTTTATCACTAACTAACATGAATTGAGATGGTGGAAAAAAAACATGAAATCCTCAATATTCCATAAAAACATTTAATCCGAATTTCCTCGATAATCCGAATTTCCTCGATAATTTCTTTCCAATTTCTAAGTTTTCATAAATTTACATGAAATTTCATCTCAATTTTTACAATTGATCATATAATGTCAAATATTTTGATTTTTGTCAGATGAGTATTCAAATGTTGAAGATTAATTTACAAGGTAGAAAAGATATGGTATTCGTGCTAATTATAGAACAAATTTAGCCCGAATTTACTCAACAGTTTCTGAAATCTTCCATTTTACAGAGTGGTGTTCAAATCTATAAGAAAGATTCTTAACCCCCCAGAACAGTCAATTTGGTGTAATTGTGACACATATATACATTCAATTCTTCCATCTATACATTTCATTTATGATAGTTTTACACTAATAATATTTAAAATATTTATTTCGAATTTCCTCTGTCATTTTATTCCTAGGAATAAATTATGTTTGACAATTTTATAAAATACATTTTGGAATTTTTTCCTATTTTATATATTCAGAAAATAATGCAATTATGCATGGAAACATTTCAAGATATGAACAATTAAATGACAAAAAAAAGGTGTGGGGTCATCATCCTTGATTTTGCTTGAAGGTCATTTGAAAAGTTGATGCTAAAAATAGATTTTTTCCTCCTGTGGAATTGAGAAAATCCAATGTGGTATTTTAAAATTAATGTTTTGAAAAAATGGAGATGTTTAGATATGAAAAAAATAATTTAAGTCTTAAGTTTTATGTTAAAGCAATGTACTAAAGTATAAAAATAACAAACTTTTGATCACAAATGACACAAAATATTTATTCCGAATTTCCTCTGTACTCTTTATAAAGTGATATTTTAGTCTTTGACAATCAATCTTTTTCATTTAATTGTTTTACTTAAATCATATATTCAGAAAAAAATATTTTTACAACCATAGGAAAGATACGAGGGTTGTCCCAAAATTCCGTAGACTAAACGCACCAGTTTAATACTATTCTGCGTAATTTTATTAAACTTTTACATTTTCTTTCTTATGTTTTTATTGATCGATTTCCAAAATTTTAGAGTCGTAATGCAATTATTCTTTGAGAATTTAGCACCATAATATGAGGCAAGGCGGAGCAATGTCAGCGACGTCGAAATTAGAATATGCGACGTCAAAAAACAATTCATGTCGTGTTAGATAATCTACATGTAAAAGTCTTGTGGAATATAATTTTTTTCTAATTTCAAATGCACTTGCATTAAAATTCTATAGATTTACATGCAAAGCTGTTACTTGATATTAAAAAAATTAAAAAAAAAAAAAAGAGAGAGAGAGAGAGACAAAAGGAATAAAAAGCATTGTTTTCTGGAGCTCTTAAGCTGAAAGATATTACTTGAGCACACTGTCGATTTCTTATTCTTTCTCGAAATATTCGCCTTTATGCTCAATGCATTTCCTATGCCTGTCAATCCACTTGTCAAACACATTTTTGAACCATGTCTGGTCCAGTCCAGCGAGGATCCTTAAGGTTTCTTTCATCAGCTCGTCCAGGTCCGAGAATCGTTGGCCTCTCAGCTCAGCTTTTAGGTAAGGGAACAGCGCAAAATCCATCGGTGCCAAGTCTGGGCTGTATGGTGGGTGACTGATTCTGTCAAATCCAAGCAAGTCGAATTCCAGTTTTGTTTGATCAGCTGTGTGGCTTGGCGCATTATCCTGGTGGTAAATAATATTTTCCTTGTTCTGGGCTAAAGAAGGCCTCTTTTTCCTCAATGCATGCATAAGATCCCGCCGCACAACCTTAGAATAGTAAGCTGCATTTACCGTCTGACCTGTAGGGACCGCATGTGTAAGAATCATGCCCTGTCTGTCCATAAACATGATGAACATGTGTTTACCAGCAGATTTCGAAACCTTTGCCTTCTTTGGTGGTGGTGTTCCAGATGTTTTCCATACACTAGAATCTCTCTTTCCCTCGGGATCATAGTAATGAAGCCATGTTTCATCAGTTGTTATTATTCTATCCAAAAAATTCTGTAGACCGGATCGGTGTCGCCGTAGGAATTCCCGGGAACACAAAATTCTTTTTTGTTTTTCTTCATATTTCAGGATCCGTGGTACCCAGCGTGCACATACCCTCTGCATCCCTAATTTTTCCGACAGTATTCGATGAACGGACGATTTACTGATTCCAAGCATGTCCTCAATCTCTCTGACGGTCTGCCGTCTGTCCTGGCGAATTATGTCGTTCAAATTTTCAACAATTTTTTCACTAATTTCTTTCGGGCGGCCTCTCTTTTCAGTCTTGGTATCCTCATATCCGTCTGCGTATCTCTTGTGCCATTTGAACACCAAAGCACGGGACACATTTCTGTGTGTTTCTGTTAACTTTAGCTTTTTATGCGTCTCCGTAGGCGTTAATCCCAGCTCTAAGCAGAATTTTATAACTTCCCGGTGCGCCGCCCCTGACGTTGACGTCGCCATTTCTTGTCAAATCGAACACACCAAACCGTCGCAGAAAACGTCATAAAATCTCCAAAAATTACGTCATAATCAAGAAATTTTGAGGGAAAATAGAGGAACATTTTTCAAGCATTGTTATATATTTTTTTCCCCGAAAATTTATTTTGAAACGTATATACTTTACAATTATAAATTAATTATTATTATTCCATTTTGTTGTTTTTGACACTGCGCCGCCTCCCGATTTTTTGATACAAGATATCTCCACTAAATCAATTTAACTTGGATAATATTTTATATTTTAATATATTTTTATCACAAATTATGTGTTCTTTGATTTAGGAAAATTTCATTTCTCAGTGTCGTCAATTAACTGAAAAACGCCGCTTGTCTACGGAATTTTGGGACAACCCTCGTAGATGTTGAATGAATCATTTACAACAAAAAAATAAAGGGGTATTCATATTTATTGAATTGCCAGGTTAGCTCGAATTTCCTCATTTTAAAAATTATCATTGAAAAAAGAAAATATGCTTTCAATTTATCATATAGGCTAATAATATAAGAGACAGGACAGGCGGTTAGATAATAGATTTTCTCTAAAATGTGATATGATGTTTTATTTTGGAAATAATTGCTGAAATTATTGCCATGTTTCCAAAAAACTTTTAAAAATTCAATCCGAATTTCCTCTGTTATAAAATATACTGGTTTCATTATTACAAAAAAAAGTAAAGGTTCGCGAACGAAATACATGTATATTTTTGCTGAGTTAAAGGCCAAAACTTTATGTTATATTATAGAATCTTTATAATTATGTTTTGTACATGAACTAATATATGACATGTATATAAATATTTATCAGCGCCAACACAATTACAATAATTGTCAAGGGTGCAACATACTAGTATAAGAATCACCAATTGTTCATACAATTTTATACAATACACTGCATCAAGATTTTGAGGCTATACATAAATCACACAATAATAATTTACACAATAATACACAATAAATATGTATTACAAAGATTTCTAAATATATGGTATTTCTTAATAAATAAGTGTTATTTTTAGTATTTCTGTACATTGACTATCAAAGGTATTTGAGACAAATTTGATACTTTTCCTTTCAAGAAAAAAATACATCAACTTCCTTTCAAAAGTTAACTTATAATTGTTGTATTTTTGGTAGCTAAATAAAAACGAAATACATCTTAAATCTCTCCTGTGTAACAAATAATTTACAAAATCTTTCATTAGGGAGTGTTTATAGGCAAATCCCCTTTTCTGTAGCAAGGTTATGTGCACCAAGTCTCAAGCTGTTAATGATTGGTCTCTCTGTTCTTTTTTTTTTTTTGGGGGGGGGGATATCAGTGTAATTCACAGCATCTGAAATCATCAAAAACAACAATAACTTGATAACATTTTAGTTTGGTGAATTATGAACCTTTTCTCTTTTGAATATTGATCTGATATTATTTGTTTAAATGCTTCTCAGATATGATTTTAATGAATTTGAGGAAAAATCTTAACTTGCTGAAAAATGAGAAAATCTTTTTAGTTCACCACTCACTTGATGTGCGAATTTCTTGCTGAACATCTGTTCACCGCCTGAGAGTCCAATTTTTTTGCCTACAATTATAAAAAAAGGATTAAATATATGCATAGCAGTAAAAATGCTGCATTACATGTTACAGTGTATTATACTTTCAAGTTACCTGGTAAATACTAAAATCTGATTAGTTTAGATGCATCTAACAATTCTTATTGTTATACTTTTAAAAATTTGTTCCTATACAAATCTATACATTTCTAATGTTTTGCTGAGCGGGCATAAAACAATTGACATTAAATAAACCACTGAGTGAGAAGTTGGACCGGTTGATGAAATGTTGGACCGCTTACATATACATCACACAATTGGTGGTCAGGAGCTTAATATAATATGTATTTTTTGATGTTTAGCAGTGACGGGCGTGAAGTTCAAGACAGTACAAGATAGATATACATCTAACTAATTATTAAAATGAAAGGTATCACAAAACATTTACTGACTGTGTTCTCAAGCAATTAAATTTCGTCGATCCTCAAACCAAATTGTCTGCCTTTGGCCTATCTGTCTCAGGCAGACACTTTGGATCTTGGGTCTGATAAAACGCAAGTTGCCCTTGAACTCAGTCAGTAATATTTAAAATTGACATCCCTTGTATCAGTTGACAATGGTTTTCCTCGGGGTGTCAATTTGGATTGTAGCCCTCAAAAACATGCACTATTTATATAATAGTTAGATACAGTTGTGTTCATATTTCTTATAATTATGTACCTCATTAGTCCATCTGCAAGCAGATTTTGCTCAATCATCCTGGCTAAGTCTGGCCTTCAGTCTACCTTCAACTACAAGTAGTCTACTCCTGGGTAAATTAAGTACTGTAGGGCTGTTTGCTCCTAAGAATTAAACATGAACAGTTCTTAGACAATTGTTTTTGAATTAACAAAAACCAGTTATAAGATTAAACATTCAAACTTATCTGTATTTCATTTATTGATTTATAAAAAAAATGAATGAAGTTTTTTAATAAATATATTTTATTTCATTACACCACGTTGTATAACAATGTATAATGTCTTATTTAAATTTGTACTAAAAAAACATATTAAACCTAAAAACACAGAAAAAATACAATAATATAAATAATTTCTGGACCATTGTGTTTCATTTTGCTCCATAAATTAGACAACTGTTTGTCTCAATGTTATTGATTTTGCCACACAATATATACTCATTTTTCACTTTGATTTGTACCCCAACGGAACACCTTACTTTTCTAACAACTTGATGATTGCTGTGTCTTTAACAAATAAGGCTAGTTAGTAATGTAACTTGTTGTAATTATATACAAGCATTTTTGTGAATAATTATTATTCATAAAACTGACGAACACACGGAAATGATAAATTTTAATCCTCAAATGTTGAACAGTCCCGGGAACATCATACGAAATACATCAATCTATAATATCCTTGCGAATCTCCATTTATCAGTAAAAACCACGTAATTCAATTTCTAAATTATAAATTAAATTGTCAGACATACATAACTAACTTACATGTACAATCTCACTGCACAGTGACCCGAAATGAATTCAGGCGATCGAAGCAACGTGGGTCTGCAATCTCGCATGTTCATTGTTTGTGACCTTCAACAGTTCAAGTTTCCTTTGGTTGATCGGGTGTCCCGAGCATAAAGAAATGGGTGACTTAAAATTGTTTTAATCATCCCTGGGCTTCTACAATGCTTCAATAATGTTTACGGCTTGTATATTTTACAAAACAATCCTCTTGGCGTTAGGGGTCTACGGGAAACGACCTGGACATGTTGACATTCGCTACGGAACTGCGCATTTTATGGCAATTGTCGCAAATCAAAGAAAAAAATCACGAACAACTTAATTTTTTAAATAGAAATAGACTCAACAATACATAAACTAATAAATAAAACAATAATTTTTTATTCAGATTGATTAAATATGTAATTTGCATTTTACGACTTCCAAAATCTATGGAGACCCATTGACGACGTAAAATGCTGACAAGAATCCATCCTTAAATTGAATAAGTTGTATTTCTTAAAAGACCATTTTAGTAATGATTCAATGTTTCAAGTACTTAATACAGAATTTTAAGTATGGAATTTTTTTTATATGAAGAAATGTTTAAAAGAAAGATAACTCCTCCTCAGAGGTGTATTTTTTTCTTACAACCACATACAACATCGTAATTTTCTGACTTAGGAACCATCACTTCATGGTGTTTTCTGACAATATTTAAATAGGTATTATACTAAGTATTATTTTCATATACACCTCATATTTCAAATTAAATGTAATGATAATCAATCGTTACTGTTTCTGTTCTCTATGTTGAAATTTCTTCATATCATGATCTGACATAAAAATCATTTCTGAAAAAAAGCTGTGCTTCATACATCAAACTATTTTCCATGTGGCTCTAATGTTTGTTGTTTTTGAAAATCAACATTAGAAATATTAAATTTTCTGACTGAAATTTGATAGCAGAGGGTCGGGACCCCTTAAAATAAAAAAAATAATAACAAATTATGTAATGACACGTTCTTATCGGAAAAAGGTCATTGATTTTGTTCTCGCATTTTCATGGTTGTATATGAATAATATCATTCTTTTATCTAAATTTCAGGCTTTTAAAACAGAATTGAATAATACATGTAGATTTTTTCAATTTTATCAATCTAGATATTTTATCTCATAATCAACCGGCATTTCAAAGTACAACTATAAGTCGGGTTGGTTCTGAGGCAGATATGGCCGTAGACGGGAATCCTGCAACTTGTGCGATGACTGATTCATTTGGTTCTAGTAGTAGTAAAAGTGATAGGGCTTGGTGGTACGTGGATCTGGGTAATATCAACAGTGTTTACAGCATAAGAATACAGTTTTTGGACATGGGCCAAGCATATGGCAAGTTTAAGTAATAAATATTTATTTACATTATTGATGGCTGCTTTTCGATAACAGATAAGCTTGTAAATATACATATTTTGTCATGTTGCTTGGTACATGTAGTAGCATTTTATTGTGCCCAAGTAAACCGATGAAGAAGAGAAAGAAAATTGAAATTGTATAGCCACACATGGCCTACCCTCTTTTCCTTTTTGTCATAACATAAGATCTCTCAAGAATTCATCTTGCTTATACATATTTACAACACCTTCCCCCTTTCTCCTTAAAAAGGATAAACACAAATTTATAGCTTTAATCAATGTCTTCTGCAAAAAAAAAAAAAAAAAAAAAAAAAAAAAAAACTTGCATACTTGAACTTGAACTACACTAATATATAATTATCATTATTTCATTGATTCATCATCTTGAAATTATTAAAAATGCATATCCTTATGTCCTTGTTTAGGTGTTTTAATTTCAAATTACCAACTTCTTTCTTTAGTTCTTAGACAAAGGGGGAGATTTGCTGGATTTTCTCTTTATCTTTCAAATTCACCTATAAAAGAAGACGGATTTATGTGCTACAAAGACGGACCAGAATTACCTCCACTGGATTTCAAGACAAAATGTACAGGATATGGTAGATATGTCATATACTACAATGAAAGACTGAATGGAGTAAAGTATCCAGCGGGATATGAATCTATGTCTTTCTTTCAGTTGTGTGAGATGATAGTTGACGGTAAATAAAAAAAAATCGTTTTTTTTTTTTTTTTTTTTTTACAAATTAACTTGCTTGTCTCTTAGTAAATATTCTAAATTATTTCTTTAACAGGATGCTCTAGAGGAAAATACGGGATAAACTGTGATATAACTTGTCCCATTAATTGTTTTGGAAGAGAATGTGATATTATCAATGGAACATGTATGAAATGCAAGCCTGGATGGGAGGGGGAAAAGTGTCAAACATGTAAGGTTAACTTTCAATTTAATACACTGTACATGTACATTAGCACATTGTGGATACTTGTTAACTAACAAAAGATAAGGTACGGGCTACTCCATATTCAAAATATTCATCTTTTAGTTTTTAAGTAATAATTATTTTAATCATGCTCAAATTAATTAAAAAATCTCCAAACACTGCTTCTGCACGTGTTATGGAACTGGCTTATTGTTTCGGTGTACATGGCAATACTGTCATCCAGGGTGTATTTGATTTACACTTGAGCTGCAACTCTCGGGTTGAATTTATAAAATTAATCATTAAAATAACTCGAACACGACTCGTGTGTTGTATTATGAAAGGCTTGAACACCAAAATTTACGATCGGAAGCTTGACAGATATCACAGTGGAAGTTTTCTCAATCGCCGGAATCCTGTTCTAGTTCTGATGAACAGCCAAACAGATCAAAAGAAAAAGTTACCAAAAACAGTAAAAAAAAAATCCAACAAGGAAGCCATCTGAGGCCACAGAATGGTTAGAGCACTGCGAGGAAAGACAAGTCGATTTACAGAGAAACATGATGAGAGAAATAAAAGAAATGCATGATGAAAAAGATTAAAATGATGGAAAAACTTTTAAATGTTTTGTAGAAAAAAAAAATAGTAAATAGAAGTGTGTGCATTTCAGTCTAATGTCATCATTGTTTTGTTCCAGAAATTTTATTGACCTTCCAGATGAAGTTGTACTGAACTAGTGCTAATTGTAACGGGGACCGTTACAGATGTTCCCCAAACGCTCCCAACCTCCCTTTCATAGTCATATTCCCTGTAAGCGTAATTAAATAAGATAAACTCTATGCATTTGAGACTTCAAGAACTTTTACCCAGAAGTGTACCATGTTCATTCAAATTTTATAATTGCACACTTGCTCATGTGAATGCACGTGCGTAATGAACATATCATATTGTCTACAAAATCTAAATACATGTATTTTGATATGCTAAATATTAAAGTACTTAATCCAAAAGTATAAAAAAAAACGCTCATTCAAGTGTATTTTTGATTTTACCAATTTCACATGCACGCACATGCATACATGAGCATGGTGACCATACCTTCTTGTAGAAGTCCATTACATCTATCTATGTTCTAAATCCCACCCCGTTTGGTTGAAAACCAAGGGAGTTATAGCTATTTAAAGTTTCAGCCAATCAGATTGCAGCGCACGTACACGTACATGTATGCATGTGCATGGTGACCATACCTACTTGTAGAAGTCCATTATATATATCTATGTTCCAAATCCCATCCTGTTTGGTCGAAAACCAAGGGAGTTATAGCTGTTTAAAGTTTCAGCCAATCAGATTGCAGCGCACGTACACGCACGTGTGTGCCTGTGCATGGTGACCATACCCTCTTGTACAAGTCCATTACATATATCTATGTTCCAAACCCCATCCTGTTTGGTTGAAAATCTAGGGAGTTATAGCTATTTAAAGTTTCAGCCAATCAGATTGCAGCGCACGTGCATGCACGTGTTTTCATGATAATTGCTATATATCATATTGTAGGATATCCTAATGCATGGCTATGTTCAAACTTTCAAAAGATTTCGTCAAAAAACAAGAAAGATATTGAGACTTTAGTTTCAGCCATTCAGAGCGAAGCGCACGTGCATGCACGTGAGATCTTGCTATTTTGACCATGACATCTTGTGCATACTACTAATATATCCTTACATTATGAGTTTCAAAACATTTCGTCAAAAAATAGAAAAGTTACGGTTAAATCCATAATATATTGGTCATTTCACGTTTTGCACGTGCGCGCTCTTGCAAGCACGTGCGCGCAAAATGACCTTGATTCCGCAAATCTACATAACATGTCTACTAACCCTAAAAACATTTCACCTAAATTGGATGTGTAGTTTACTAGATCATTCGCGGACAAAATTTTCCCGAGAAGAAAAATAATAATAATAATAATAACTAGTGCTAATTGTAACGGGGACCGTTACAGATGTTCCCCAAACGCTCCCCAAGTCCCCTTTGGTGCCATATTCCCTGGGAGCTTCATTAAATAAGTCAAACTCGATGCATTTGAGACTTTAACAACGTTTACCCAGAAGTGTACAAAGTTCATACAAATTTTAGCATTGCACGCGTGCGCATGTGAATGCATGTGCGTAATGACCATATCATCTTGTCTACACAATCTATATATTTTAATATACTAAATATTAAAGTATTTAATCCAAAAGTATAAAAAAGATGCGCTCATTCAAGTTTTTTTTTAATTTTGCTCATTTCACGTGCACGCACGTGCATACATGAGTATGGTGACCATTCTTTCTTGTAGATGTCCGTTACATCTATCTATGTTCTAAATCCCACTCCGTTTGGTTGAAAACCAAGGGAGTTATAGCTCTTTAAAGTTTCAGCCAATCAGATTGCAGCGCACGTACATGCACGTGTATGCATGTGCATGGTGACCATATTTTCTTGTAGTAGACCAGTATATCTATCTATGTTCCAAATCCCATCCTGTTTGGTTGAAAATCAAAGGAGTTATAGCTATTTAAATTTTAAGCCAATCAGATTGCAGCGCACGTGCATGCACGTGTTTTCACGATAAATGCTATATATCACATTGTAGGATATTCTAATGCATGGCTATTTGCAAAATTTCAAAGGATTTCGTCAAAAAACAAGAAAGATATTGAGACTTTAGTTTCAGCCAATCAGAGCAAAGCGCACGTGCATGCGCGTGAGATCTTGCTTTTTTGACCATGTCATATTGTCTATGCTACTAATATATCCTTATGTTATAAGTTTCAAAGCATTTCATCAAAAATTTAAAAAGTTCCACCTATATCAATTAAATCGGTCATTTCACATGTTGCACG